TTCTTTGATTCTCCATTCTCTCTCTCAAAGCTTGTATCTCCATTCTCCATACCTTTGAATCAATAAAAATACCCGGCGACTGAAGCCATTGAAGAGTGGACGTAGGTCGAATTGACCGAACCACTATAAATTGTGTCTTCTTTAATTTCTTCGTTGATTTCATTGCATTTATTATCTACACTTGACAGGTGGTGTGCAAAACTATTTTTGTGCATCATCAGTTTGGCGCCGTCTGTGGGAACCGACAAAATTTTCACTCCTGAACATTACGTCCATTAACTAATGGCGATCACTACTCGATCCATGAACCAACACGAAGACAATCCTCCACGAGAGGAAGAGGTTGCTCCCCCGCCTATCAACCCTGTTCCGGATACTCTAGCCCCGAATCCCCAACAAATATTGGAGACCATGCAGCAACTGGTTGCTCAAAACCAACAGTTACTGCAACTCATACTTGCTGGACAAGGAGGAGCACCACACGGAGGTGCACAACATGGAGGACCCCAAGGTGGAGCACCACACGGAGGTGCACAACATGGAGGACCCCAAGGTGGAGCACCACACGGAGGTGCACAACGTGGAGCACCACATGGAGGTGCACAACATGGAGGGCCCCACGGAGGTGCACAACATAGAGCACCCTAAGGAGCTCCACATCCTGGACATCAAGAAGCACCACGCCCTGTTGCTCCACGCCCGGGTGCCCCATTGGGCACCCCACTTCGGAAAGCCCAACATGAGGGAGCTGCACCTCCCCCTCCCCTTGCTTTCCAGGGAGAGGACCCTTATCTCCAGGAGGATGAGGGTGAAAATCAAAGCATGGGGCATGGAAGTCACTTCCATGATCATTCCAGAAGAGCCCCCAATCATTGGGACGAGAAGATAAAGGAGGTACAGAATCAACTCGGTGATGTCTTCAACGCCATGAAGGCACAAGGACCCGAGACTGTTGACCACCTGGTAAGGCGTACTGATACCCCTTTCAAACCCGATATAGCAAACTACCCCCTCCCTCAGAAGTTCAAAATGCCATCTGTGGAGACCTTTGATGGAACAAAGGATCCACTGGACCACCTCGACACTTACAAGACCTTGATGCAATTGCACAACGTACCAGACGAAATCATGTGCAGGGCATTCCCAACCACATTAAAAGGGTCTGCCCGACAGTGGTTTGCTAAGCTCTCCCCCGCCTCTATTACCTCTTTTGTCGAGCTTAGCAGATCATTCGTATCACACTTCATAGGAGGGCGTCGCCACCAGAAGCCAGTTACGCACCTGCTTAGTATAAAGCAGGACCGCGAGGAGAGCCTGAGGAGTTACCTCACTCGTTTTAACGAGGAGGTACTCCAAGTTGATGAACCCGACGACAAGGTGACGATGACCGCCTTCTTGGGTGGCCTCCGTTCATCAAGTTTCCTTTTCTTAGTTCTGAAGCGCCCACCGAAGAGCATGCCAGAACTATTCACAAAAGCTCAAAGATATAAGAATGCTGAGGAAATCAACAAGTTTAGGCAAGGTGAATCATCTCACAGATCACCAGAAACTTGACCTGCCTCTGCACTGTTCTCAAACAGGCAGCCTATCTCCAACTTAGCGGCTCTCTCACGGGTCGCCAAAAAACTTGGCCTCTGCGCTGTTCTCAAACAGGCAGCCTATCTCCAGTTTAGCGGTTCTCTCACGGATCGCCCAAAAACTTGGCCTCTGCACTGTTCTCAAACAGGCAGCCTATCTCCAACTTAGCGGCTCTCTCACGGGTCGCCAAAAAACTTGGCCTCTGCGCTGTTCTCAAACAGGCAGCCTATCTCCAGCTTAACGGCTCTCTCAAGGGCCGCCGAAAAAAAAAAAAAAAAAAACTTAGCCTCTGTACTGTTCTCAAACAGGCAGCCTATCTCCAGTTTAGCGGCTCTCTCACGGGTCGCCAAAAAACTTGGCCTCTGCACTGTTCTCAAACAGCAGCCTATCTCCAGTTTAGCGGTTCTCTCACGGATCGCCAAAAAACTTGGCCTCTGCACTGTTTTCAAACAGGCAGCCTATCTCCAGTTTAGCGGTTCTCTCATGGATCGGCAAAAAAAAAAAAACAAAATAAAACTTGGCCTCTGCACTGTTCTCAAACAGGCAGCCTATCTCCAGCTTAGCGGCTCTCTCACGGGTCACCAAAAAAGCTTGGCCTCTGCACTGTTCTCAAACAGGAAGCTTATACCTCAAGCTTAAAGACTCCCTCATGGGTCGCCAAAAGCTAGGTCTCAAAAAGTGTAGCCTCTCACGAGCAGTTCTCCAACTCTGTCTTTGCTCTCGCACAAGCAGCCTACTTCTCTCTCTCTCCAGGTAATTATGTGAGATATTTTAATGTTTGGAATAACATTATTTTTGTCATCACAAGTAGGTTCTCCCGAGGCAGCCCCAGGCTCACCCAAGGCGCCCAGCACCTGGAGAAGGGCTTGATCATCAAGAGCAGCACCCAAAGGTTCCTTATACTTGCAATGTCTAGCCCAATGCCTAGAAGTGTGCCTGACTGCTGTTGCTCGTCAAAACAAAGTTGCCCAGTAGCTTGAAGGCTGTCTGGCCCTTCAAAATTGCGCAAAGCAGAATTTTCGGCGTAAAAATCAGCACCTCAGACGCCCAAATCAGCACCTCGAGTGGGAATCGGATCAGCCCATGCTCCCAGGCCACTGCCTAGCTCTCCCTGACGAACCTTGGACTGATTTTCAGCGCCCCTTGATGAAAAAATGCTGCTGCCCAGCGTTCCAAAGCCGCCCAGCGCAGCAGATCTGAAGCTGTCCAGGATGCGAGGAGCAGAGCCTAGGCAGCCGCCCAGGCCCCAGCGCCTAAGCCCCCAGCGCGCGCGCTGCCCAGCTGTGCCTGCGCAGCGCTGCGCTGCCCAGCCCAGCGCTCCTGCGCAGCCTGCGCTGCCCAGCGCGCCTGCGCAGCCTGCGCTGCCCAGCCCAGCGCTCCTGCGCAGCCTGCGCTGCCCAGCTGCCCAGCTGCGCGCGCGCGCTGCGCAGCCGCACGCCCAGCGCGCCTGCGCTGCCCAATCGCGCTCCTAGCCGTCTCCCTTTCTTCAACCTCCACCACTCCCTCTTCAAAATAAAATGGGAAAGATTTGAAGTTTAAAAAAAAAAAAAAAAAAATGTAATCAATGCCTCCTTCTCCAAGTCTCCTTGGACATGGGGCATTGGGGGGCAAATGATGGGTTAAGCCCAAATAGTCCAATTTATGTGTTAAAGTCCAACCCCATTTGAGGAGCCCAACCTCATTGTGATTCTACCAAGCCCAAGACAATCCAAGACCGGTTAGACCTCTTGCTTAGCACGTCACCAAGAGACCACCAAGACCAAGACGGTCCAAGGCCGGTTAGACTTCTTGCTTAGCACGTCACCAAGAGGAGAGCACGAGAAGTTTATCTACACCGCCTTAAGGAGCCCAAGGCCGGTTAGACTTCTTGCTTAGCACGTCACCAAGAGGAGAGCACGGGAAGTTTATCTGCACCTCCTTAAGGAGCCCAAGGCCGGCTAGACTTCTTGCTTAGCACGTCACCAAGAGGAGAGCACGGAAGTTTATCTGCACCACCGAAGGAAGAAAACGGTCCAATCATTGACCACGTTTCATGAAGAGCTCCCCAGCCTCTTCCTTCCGTGGAGGATAAGTCGCGATCTCCACCAAAGATAATCTCTAAGCTGCGATAAAGAAGCCTTGAGGATATGTCATGATCTCCACAAGAATGATCTCTTAGCTACTATAAAATGGCTCTAATATGGGAGAGGAGAGGGACATCCCAACAGAGTCATACAGAAGACGAACCGACTACCGGAGATTACCATTTTCTTTGATTCTCCATTCTCTCTCTCAAAGCTTGTATCTCCATTCTCCATACCTTTGAATCAATAAAAATACCCGGCGACTGAAGCCATTGAAGAGTGGACGTAGGTCGAATTGACCGAACCACTATAAATTGTGTCTTCTTTAATTTCTTCGTTGATTTCATTGCATTTATTATCTACACTTGACAGGTGGTGTGCAAAACCATTTTTGTGCATCATCAATTTTAATTATTTTAGATGAACTTTTTAAATAATAATATTCATAATATAGTACAATGTCTTGTAGATATCCTACCGTACACTTTATTGGAGCATGTCTTTGACACCTTACGAGGCACGAAGGCGGCAACTAGAAAACGTGACCAACGGGGTTCTACTATACATAGATTAAACGGTTGAAAACCATAGCCATTTTTAAGAGAAAAGATGAAAGTGGTAAATTGGACCATCATAAGATGTGTGTGACCAAAGAAAGAATATATTCTCTGGTGTTCAAGAAAATGTTGAGGGAATGGAAATGATTAAACCGAAATAAAAGTGTTTAAATAGGTTCACTGAGTCCATGGCCTTTTGAAGTTCGTTAAATTACGCCCAGACACCAATGCCAAACTACGTAGAAATTCTAAAATGGATGGCAAAGTTAAATTCTAATAACACAATTTTCATATATAAAAAAACGTATACAATACACAAAACTCTCGTTATTACATGATTTAAAGATGATTAGATGTACGCTGTTTTACGCCTACTACAAACAAAAAAACTGTTTCCGTGTCACAATTCTCGTATATGATTGTGCTAAATCAAATTTAATTATCTGAAATTAAACACAATTTTAGATAATTTAAGTTCCTGTCCATTGTGGTTTATGCAAAGGGGTGCAAGGTCACAAGTAAATCTAAAGGTGCTGATTTCACTATAAAGTCCAAAAATTTTCTTTCAAGGGTGTTTTGGGGTTTCTCTTTTCTTTTTTTTTTTTTTGTTGGAACAATGCCGAACAGTTCTCGTTCGTACATAGGGTTATCCCCTCTCTGTATGTGTGCGAATATTTGTGTGCAACTCTTCTTTAAAACTCCCTTTTTAACAGGAGCCATTTTGACTGTGTGTGTGTGGAATTTTATCAGAAGTCTCTAAACCCATTAACTCACTCACTCTCTCACTCATGGAAAAGCAACAATGGGCCAAGAGAAAGCTTGGGCAACTGACTACATTGATATTGGTGGTGGCAGCGGGGCAAAAAATTCCAAAACAAAACACGCAGAAATGGAAGCTGGCGATGATGAGAAAAATAGCGGTGGTTGTAGTGGTGGTGGTGATGCTTTTATTGATTGCGCGAGTGGATCGTCTGCATTACATTTGCCAACTTCGGAAAGAACACCCCCTCCCTTCTTGAGGAAGGTCTTTGAAATGGTGGAGGATCCAGAAACAGACTCAATCATAGCATGGAGTTCCACTCGCACCAGCTTTATCATTTGGGACACCAACAGATTGTCCATAGAAATCCTCCCCACATACTTCAAGCGCAGTAATTTTACAAGCTTCATTTGCCAACTCAACAACTATGTCAGTATTATTATTTTTTTTTTTTTTATTTTTTTGGAAGGGGAGGGGGAGCGAGATTTGAACCCTTCATAAGATAAAGAATACTATTAAACCAAAAACTCATTGATTATGTCAGTATTAAGCTACCACCTTTATTTTTTCACCATTTTCCTTATTCATGTCATTTCTCATAAATTTAGATGTACTGTATATTGGTCTTGCTTGCATAATGCCACTCTATGGACTTTCATTTTGTAACACGGGCATGAACACGATACTAAATGAAACCCATGGAAATTCTCCATTGTCAAAGAAAATAGACACGACATAACTTTATTGCATTAGAAAACTTTCCTACAAGATTTGTCTGTATGAATCTTGCTGGTATATGTGTGCTTGATGAGTTCTGTTTCGTATGATTTGATGTGTTTTGGTTTCTTCTTATGAATTTAAGGTAAATTGTGCATGTAATGACTACTTGAGATTGTTGCGGTTTCGCTATTGAATCTGAGTTACATGGCCTGCTAGAGTTCTTTGTTAGTGATCCCATGCTTTATTTTATATTCTATTCATATAATAAAATACAATATAACAAATAATTTTTATTTTTTGTAGTTGAAATCATTTTAAATTTACTTTAAAATTAATTCGACGGCTACTATTAATCTCTCAAATTTAAAAGAAAAATAGGTCCCATAAGGGTTTGTTTGGAACAACTTATTTTAATTACTTCTAATTAAATAAGTCAAAGTAATTTTACCACTTAAATAAGTAAGTACGTAAAAAAAAATTTTAATTTCTATTTTTTTAAAATCACTCATCACCACCACCACCACCATTCGCCATTACACTGTCGCCCACAAAGCACCCATCATCGTCTACCACCACTCACACCCACTACCACCATTGTCATAGCCCATCACCACAACCCACCACAGCCACCACCACCATCACCGCCCCACCACCAAAATCCACCACTGTCACTGCCACCACCCACCACCACTGCCAATTACATCACCGTCATTCACCAACACCGACACCCACCGTCGCCACCACCACCACCGCCGTCACCCATGGCTGTCATTACCATGGTCGTCACCCAAAACCACCACCTCCATTATTATTGTCATTCACTGCTACCACCACTGCCACGGTCGTCGTCGCCTATCACAACTATCATCGTCTTCCACTGTCACCACTAATACCCACCACCATTACCACTTGCTCACATCCATTACGACTGGTGCTTAATTTTTTTTTTTTCTCTTTTCTATGTTTGTGACTTGATTTTAAGTGTGAATATAAATATATTTATGATTGACAATTTTTTTTATTACTTTGTACTTTCATGCAGATTACAATAACTAGTATCTTATAAACTGAAGATGTTGTTGAACGATGCATTTTCTATGTTTTTTTTCCCTGTTTATATTACTTTAAGTAAATAAACAGGGAAAAAACATAGAAAATGCATCGTTCAACAACATCTTCAGTTTTATAAGTATACTAGTTATTGTAATCTGCATGAAAGTACAAAGTAATAAAAAAAATTGTCAATCATAATATATATTATATTCACACTTAAAATCAAGTCACAAACATAGAAAAGAGAAAAAAAAAAATTAAGCACCAGTCGTAATGGATGTGAGCAAGTGGTATGGTGGTGGGTATTAGTGGTGACAGTGGAAGACGATGATAGTTGTGATAGGCGACGACGACCGTGGCAGTGGTGGTAGCAGTGAATGACAATAATAATGGAGGTGGTGGTTTTGGGTGACGACCATGGTAATGACAGCCATGGGTGACGGCGGTGGTGGTGGTGGCGACGGTGGGTGTCGGTGTTGGTGAATGACGGTGATGTAATTGGCAGTGGTGGTGGTGGTGGCAGTGACAGTGGTGGATTTTGTGGTGGGGCGGTGATGGTGGTGGTGGCTGTGGTGGGTTGTGGTGATGGGCTATGACAATGGTGGTAGTGGGTGTGAGTGGTGGTAGACGATGATGGGTGCTTTGTGGGCGACAGTGTAATGGCGAATGGTGGTGGTGGTGGTGATGAGTGATTTTAAAAAAATAGAAATTAAAATTTTTTTTTTACGTACTTACTTATTTAAGTGGTAAAATTACTTTTGACTTATTTAATTAGAAGTAATTAAAATAAGTTGTTCCAAACAAACCCTTATGGACCTATTTTTCTTTTAAATTTGAGAGATTAATAGTAGCCGTCGAATTAATTTTAAAGTAAAATTTAAAATGATTTCAACTACAAAAAATAAAAATTATTTGTTATATTGTATTTTATTATATGAATAGAATATAAAATAAAGCATGGGATCACTAACAAAGAACTCTAGCAGGCCATGTAACTCAGATTCAATAGCGAAACCGCAACAATCTCAAGTAGTCATTACATGCACAATTTACCTTAAATTCATAAGAAGAAACCAAAACACATCAAATCATACGAAACAGAACTCATCAAGCACACATATACCAGCAAGATTCATACAGACAAATCTTGTAGGAAAGTTTTCTAATGCAATAAAGTTATGTCGTGTCTATTTTCTTTGACAATGGAGAATTTCCATGGGTTTCATTTAGTATCGTGTTCATGCCCGTGTTACAAAATGAAAGTCCATAGAGTGGCATTATGCAAGCAAGACCAATATACAGTACATCTAAATTTATGAGAAATGACATGAATAAGGAAAATGGTGAAAAAATAAAGGTGGTAGCTTAATACTGACATAATCAATGAGTTTTTGGTTTAATAGTATTCTTTATCTTATGAAGGGTTCAAATCTCGCTCCCCCTCCCCTTCCCAAAAAATAAAAAAAAAAATAATAATACTGACATAGTTGTTGAGTTGGCAAATGAAGCTTGTAAAATTACTGCGCTTGAAGTATGTGGGGAGGATTTCTATGGACAATCTGTTGGTGTCCCAAATGATAAAGCTGGTGCGAGTGGAACTCCATGCTATGATTGAGTCTGTTTCTGGATCCTCCACCATTTCAAAGACCTTCCTCAAGAAGGGAGGGGGTGTTCTTTCCGAAGTTGGCAAATGTAATGCAGACGATCCACTCGCGCAATCAATAAAAGCATCACCACCACCACTACAACCACCGCTATTTTTCTCATCATCGCCAGCTTCCATTTCTGCGTGTTTTGTTTTGGAATTTTTTGCCCCGCTGCCACCACCAATATCAATGTAGTCAGTTGCCCAAGCTTTCTCTTGGCCCATTGTTGCTTTTTCCATGAGTGAGAGAGTGAGTGAGTTAATGGGTTTAGAGACTTCTGATAAAATTCCACACACACACAGTCAAATGGCTCCTGTTAAAAAGGGAGTTTTAAAGAAGAGTTGCACACAAATATTCGCACACATACAGAGAGGGGGATAACCCTATGTACGAACGAGAACTGTTCGGCATTGTTCCAACAAAAAAAAAAAAGAAAAGAGAAACCCCAAAACACCCTTGAAAGAAAATTTTTGGACTTTATAGTGAAATCAGCACCTTTAGATTTACTTGTGACCTTGCACCCCTTTGCATAAACCACAATGGACAGGAACTTAAATTATCTAAAATTGTGTTTAATTTCAGATAATTAAATTTGATTTAGCACAATCATATACGAGAATTGTGACACGGAAACAGTTTTTTTGTTTGTAGTAGGCGTAAAACAGCGTACATCTAATCATCTTTAAATCATGTAATAACGAGAGTTTTGTGTATTGTATACGTTTTTTTATATATGAAAATTGTGTTATTAGAATTTAACTTTGCCATCCATTTTAGAATTTCTACGTAGTTTGGCATTGGTGTCTGGGCGTAATTTAACGAACTTCAAAAGGCCATGGACTCAGTGAACCTATTTAAACACTTTTATTTCGGTTTAATCATTTCCATTCCCTCAACATTTTCTTGAACACCAGAGAATATATTCTTTCTTTGGTCACACACATCTTATGATGGTCCAATTTACCACTTTCATCTTTTCTCTTAAAAATGGCTATGGTTTTCAACCGTTTAATCTATGTATAGTAGAACCCCGTTTGGTCACGTTTTCTAGTTGCCGCCTTCGTGCCTCGTAAGGTGTCAAAGACATGCTCCAATAAAGTGTACGGTAGGATATCTACAAGACATTGTACTATATTATGAATATTATTATTTAAAAAGTTCATCTAAAATAATTAAAATTGATGATGCACAAAAATGGTTTTGCACACCACCTGTCAAGTGTAGATAATAAATGCAATGAAATCAACGAAGAAATTAAAGAAGACACAATTTATAGTGGTTCGGTCAATTCGACCTACGTCCACTCTTCAATGGCTTCAGTCGCCGGGTATTTTTATTGATTCAAAGGTATGGAGAATGGAGATACAAGCTTTGAGAGAGAGAATGGAGAATCAAAGAAAATGGTAATCTCCGGTAGTCGGTTCGTCTTCTGTATGACTCTGTTGGGATGTCCCTCTCCTCTCCCATATTAGAGCCATTTTATAGTAGCTAAGAGATCATTCTTGTGGAGATCATGACATATCCTCAAGGCTTCTTTATCGCAGCTTAGAGATTATCTTTGGTGGAGATCGCGACTTATCCTCCACGGAAGGAAGAGGCTGGGGAGCTCTTCATGAAACGTGGTCAATGATTGGACCGTTTTCTTCCTTCGGTGGTGCAGATAAACTTCCCGTGCTCTCCTCTTGGTGACGTGCTAAGCAAGAAGTCTAGCCGGCCTTGGGCTCCTTAAGGAGGTGCAGATAAACTTCCCGTGCTCTCCTCTTGGTGACGTGCTAAGCAAGAAGTCTAACCGGCCTTGGGCTCCTTAAGGCGGTGTAGATAAACTTCTCGTGCTCTCCTCTTGGTGACGTGCTAAGCAAGAAGTCTAACCGGCCTTGGACCGTCTTGGTCTTGGTGGTCTCTTGGTGACGTGCTAAGCAAGAGGTCTAACCGGTCTTGGATTGTCTTGGGCTTGGTAGAATCACAATGAGGT